TATATGAATTTGGGCGATAGAGTGCAATTGAGTCATTTTCGCGTGAGGATTTTCTTTGAATACTAGAACGTACTATATTATAGCTTTACCGTAATATTTTTTTTTTTAATTTTGCACGTTAAATGGCTGCCCCTTCGAACATAATTGACCGAATAGAGTCAAGCAACGCCGTAAAAGTAGGCCGCGCCTTTGGATCAGCTTGCCAGCATGGCAGCATAAGTTTGTCGTATACAATTTGTGGACACAAATCTGGTTTTTTGAGCCTAGCAAGCAAAAGGAAAAAGACTTTAGTATCTAAATACTAATCAATGTTTATACATACNAATTTGTGGACACAAATCTGGTTTTCTGAGCCTAGCAAGCAAAAGGAAAAAGACTTTAGTATCTAAATACTAATCAATGTTTATACATACCTTTCACCCAGTTGAAGTCGTTGTAGAAACTCATCTTGACTTAGCTCCCGATTGGGAACCAGATTTGGCATATCTCCGCCCGAAAACGTTTCAAACATAGTCACACCATAAGACCACACGTCTGATTTCATGGAGAATTTATTGTATGCTATGGACTCTGGCGAATACCTAAAAATTGCGTGTTCAAAAACATTGAACCAAATATATTATTCTCTCATATTAAATAACTACCATTTTATGGGAATATCACGTTGGCTAAATCCCCAATAGTAACCATCTGCATTTGCAAACTGTGATAGTCCAAAATCGGATATTTTAACATAATCTTTCTCCTTATCCCACAAAATGTTTCGTGTTGCCAGATCTCTGTGTATAATTTTTTTACTCACTAAGTATTCCATGCCCTTTACATGCAAGTTAATTGAGAAATCGAGAAACAAAAATATTAATAATCTCCAGCAATGAAAATTAGTATACAAAACAAACCCTAGCAATGTCACTGGCGAAATGTAACAGCTTATTATTGGTCAAATTGGAGGTTTTTAACAGTACAAGAAAGGAGCCTCCAGACACGTATTCCATTACGATAGAAATGGGCTTTCGGACTGAATATTTAATTTTAACAACGTTCGGATGATTCATGGACTAAAAATATTAACAGCAATTATTGTTTTGAGTTCAAAAATAATGTAATTAAGTATTCAGGTATATGAATGTATTGATGTACATAAATGTTATGCCTTTACTATTATTTACCTGCATTATTTTTATTTCCCGTAAGAAATCTTTTGGATTCGATGTAGCTTCAGGTTTAAATTTCTTCACTGCCACTTCTTCTGGCGCTGTATTTGGATCGTTGTAACGTAATTCGCCCCAATGCACCGTGCCATAATGACCCTGGGCTACTTGTTTAATAATAATAACTTTTCCAATTGGCAATGTTAAAACCCATTGTGTATCATCCCAGGGGCGACCAGGCATTCCAGTATGTGAAAATCCTTGATTGGGGGAAATAAACGGTGTAATCGACTGACTTGAGAAAGCATCGCAATTCCCACTATTTTCATTGTCCATATCATTATCACTATCACTATCTTCGTATGGAAGATGGTCTTCGCGTTCGTTGGTGAAAATACGTTCATAACTTGGCCTGTACCTTCCTATGAGAGTGTTTAGCGTACCGAAGATATTTCCTGTTTGAAACCGATTGGAAGCGTCCAAACTCCAGCCGTCGAACATCATGTTAGAGATCTCTTCTGGACAACATTCGCTTGGTTTGAGTAGTATGCCACCGGTTCGAGACCGATTCATTAGTAGCTTTTCAACAATTTTTGCGGGTTTTCCAATGCATTCGAGCTCTTCCAATATGCTCTTACCATACGCAAATATCTCCCAAATAGTTGTTGCGAAGGCCCACTCATCTGCACACTCGTCCCCGCGAACACCATCGGGATTATTATAATATTCCTGAGGTATCCAAGGTAAACTAAGCGAAATAAAATTATAACTAAGTGAATAAGCAAAGAATTATAGTCTGCTTTTTTCCAGAAAATAAGCACTGTGTTTGAACTCGCGACTTGTTCTCTATTAATTTTTTTGGCAACCTAATGCCAGATGTGAATGTTTGCACCTGTTCGGTTGAAAATAACTACATATCGCTAGCCTCGAATGAAAAGTTTTTAAGATAACTCATATTTTGATAAACATAGGTAGCAGGAAAAAATAAAAACGCATCGTCTCCAAAAGTATTGAGGTATTTATTTTATTTCCTTCCGTTAATGTTCAATGAGAGGCAAATTTTACGGATCCAAAAGTGGAACAGAAATCTCGATAACACACAATAATACGAAATATTTTAATTTGCCCTGAACCCGTCTAATCCATATGGACTTTTTTGATTTGCTTTGAACACTCAATATGTCTTAAAAGTTTTACAAAATATTTTAAGAAAATAACTATAAGAAGTTTCCTCTACTGCAAAATTTATACAAAATGTACTTAGCAACTTTTCACTCTAAGCTAGTAATATATAATAAAAAGAAATTTGGAGGGGTCTTGCTGATGCAACTCTGGTTTTCAAACATGTCAAATGGTATAGCTAGTTGAATTTGTACGTACAATTGTTCGTAAGCGGGTTAATAACTTGGTTTCCCCATTCATTAAACCCAGCAGTTAAAATACGACCTTTTAAAAAAGGCATTTTCATCACAACGTGGAAAATAGGTCA